GAAGATGTAGGAGGTGGACAGACCTCCCTTCAGGAACATAGCCCAAAGCAAGGGGGAAGCATAGGGCCGTTAGGAGGGATGGTTCCATCATGAGGGGTCTCCAGGAGAAGAGGTTTGATGGGCTGTAAGAAGAATATTTAACTCCCCTATCTCCCTACGGAATAGAGGTGGGGTTAATTGGAAGCAGAAGGGTAAGAGGAAGAAATTGTTATTTTTCTGTTCAGAGGGGTGTTTCCTAGGTTATATGGAGCAGTTTGCCCATCCCAACCTGTGACACTCACATTCCGCAGCCTCTCCCACACCTAGGTGTCATCATCAATGTGACAGCCAGTACCAATTAAATGCAGGTCCTCGGGTTGTAGTCAACAGCTGGAGGGAACATAGCTGGAGCGTCTGTGGGGCATATGTGGTGTGCTGACACCTGTATTAAAAGTGTAAGTTATCACTTTAAATGCTCAAGGTATTGGCTTGGTCCAGCTTGAAGGCTAGGGAAGTTTGTGCTCTGGGCTTAGCAGAATCAGCAGCGAGACAGCCTGGAATAAAGTGGAGTGAGTTGTGCCTCTCTGTTTAGGGAGCAGCTTCTTTCTCTGTCTCTGTTTAAAGGGGGTTGTGTATTGTTGTTCTGCATTCTTAGAAACAAAGGAAAGTTAGGATGTAACTTTCCAGCAAGAGTATTTTTGTTTTTATCTGACTTCTCTGTGGGTATGGCGTGAACGTAACAGGGAAAGATGAGTGAGGTGACCAGCCAGAGTGACGTGTCCACTCTTTGTGTCCCCACTGGGTGGGATAGCATCTAGGGTCCCTGTCCTGTCTCTGTGGAGAAAGTGGCAGATGAGAAGACCAGCACCCTACATCTACAGAGACAATTAAAATACAGGGGAAAGACGAGAGAATGAGAGGGACAGATCCCTTCCAATGCCTCATTTCCCAGTTTTTGTCCCCCTCTGTGTGGCTGTAAGACTAGTGAATTCTGATACTTAGTCCTCTCCCCTCTTTTTTTTTTTTTGTTGTATTATCTGCCTACAAATGGGTGGAAATGAAGGGAAAAGGAAGGTGAGGACTGGGAGGGAGATTCCAAAGCAGGTTGTTAAACATTGTGGTGATTCATTGTTTGTCAGCACTGAGGCTTGGTTACAATGAATTCCTCAGGGGACACTGAGGTGTCAAAATCCTCTATAGAACCCTTAGAAATTTTCCTGGACAAAATTTCAGCTGAATCACTTCTTGTTCTCTCCTCCCTGATAGAATGAGACCAATCCAAAAAGGATCTTAGCACCTGCAAGTGCCTTTGACCTCCACATGTCTGATTCATCGACAGTTTATGTCTGTACTTTAGATCGTTATCATTAAGGCTGATGTTTGTTGGGGGCGGGGGGAATAAGGTAAATTCAAGGTTTTATACCATCACTATCTGTACAATTCCTTAGTTTAGATTCACAGGGAAACAAATCAAAAACTTAACAATACAGTCCTGGCACACTGTATTTTCAGTGTGATTCACTGTATTTCTTTTTTTCAAAAGGATTTTTAACCTCTTTGTAATGGGTTTTAATGCATGAAGTTTGGAAAATTCACAAAATACATATAAAATATTGTACAAAAAATTGTACAAAAAATATAAAACCACACACATCCTTCTGCCAATTGCTTCTCGAGTAGTATTGTGTTCTAGAATTCCCCTCTGCACTAGGTACCTCATCTGAAGTCAATGGGAGGATTTCCATTGACTTCAAAGGGCTTTGGACCAAGAACTAAATGTTTGCTAGGTGTAAATATTCATATTGCAACTTCATGAAGGCAGGGATTTGTCAATTGTATTGCCTTGGTGTGCCCTGGGAATTTTTATCCGCTGTACATATAATAATCATTATAATTAAGAGGTTGCAGCACACACTTTGTAAATGTCACTTGTATCAAAACAAGATTTCCACAGATCAGCATGTCACAATGCCCGCTGCCCTATAAATAGAGAAACTCCCAGTCTCCTGTATAACTCGGAGTTTCTTCTCTTCCGTGACATTAAGTTCCTGGCCAAACGTTAGCCATGAAGATACTTTACCTTCTTTTTGCTGTCTTCTTCCTGGTGGCGCAAAGCACTGAAGGTAAGATTTTCGTTAAATGAAGGGAAAATATAGAAGGACATGTATGAGCCTGTACTAAGGTTGCCTAAATCTTTGTATCATAGATTTTTCCAACTCTTCTTCTAAAGAGCTGTAGTGCTTACAGGGTTTGAAGCAGATACTTGAAATGTAGCTGGGGAATAATCCTGGGGTCAGGAAGGTGCCTTTCATGTGCCTATGAAAATCTGTTCAGATGCGGTTGAACCTGTAAAAACATCACCTGCATTCTATCTAGTGGGATGCTTCTGGGATTGGTTCTTGGTCCTGTCCTAGTCAATTTTTTTATCCGTGACCTGAAAGAAAATATAAACTCACTGATAAAGTTTGCAGATGACAAAAGAAATTTGGGGAGTGGTAAATATTGAAGAGGACACATCTCTGATACAGACTAATGTGAATTGCGTGGTAAGTGGGGTGCAAACATTTAAATTTACATACACATTTAAATAAGGCTAAATATAAATGTATACATCTAAGAAAAAAGAATGTAGACATAGTTACAGAAGGGGGTGCTCTATCCTGGGAAGCAATGACTCTGAAAAAGATTTGGGAGTAAGTGAAGGATAATCAGCTGAACATGAGCTCCTAATGCAAAGCTGTGGCCAAAAGGGCTGATGCAATCCTTGGTTGCATAAACAGGGGAATATCGATTAAGAGTAGAGAGGTTATTTTACCTCTGAATTTGGCACAGGTGAGATCGCTGCTGGAAAACTGGGTCTAGTTCTAGTGTCCACAAACCAAGACTGTTGCACATGTAAATGGTTTTAAGCAGGGGTCGGCAACCTTTCAGAAGTGGTGTGCCAAGTCTTCATTTATTCACTCTAATGTAAGGTTTCGCGTGCCAGTATTACATTTTAATGTTTTTAGAAGGTCTCTTTCTATAAGTCTATAATATATAACTAAACTATTGTTGTATGTAAACTAAATAAGGTTTTTAAAATGTTTAAGAAGCTTTATTTATAATTAAATTAAAATGCAGAGCCCCCCGCACTAGTGGCCAGGACCCAGGCAGTGTGAGTGCCACTGAATATCAGCTCACATGCTGCCTTTGGCATGCGTGCCATAGATTGCCTACCCCTGGTTTAAAGGATACATTGGTCAGAATGCCTGTCAATCAAATTTGGCCCAATTGCCCCTCCGTCGTTTTGGGGGACCTCTGCAAACTGCCTCTTTCGTTCTGCCACACCCCAGGTGGCCCTGAGGAAAGACTCACCTAAATATCTGTGTGGACACATACAAGGTGTATCCTCTTCCTTTGGCCTGACCCCAAGAAAATACAGTTTGTTCTAGAGGAGGGTGAACTAATTTGGGAACCAGGAAAACGTAAATTAGAGTCTAACTTCTTCTGCTTGCTAGTGCTAATTATTCAGGGCTTTGATGTACCTTATTATTAAGTGATGTCTCACACTCCCAGGAGAGAATACACAGTCTGGGACTAAAACCCC